GTCCTTTACGGTATAGAGAGTCAGTTGCTTGCCGAAATTTCCCTGTGCTGCTTATAATAATCCCAAGATAGCAGTAGCTGGAGACCATCTCGATATCTCTTTCGTGAATGGAAGGACGCCAATTTGGAATGTCTGGTCCTTTGCCATTGAAGACCATGAATTTGGTTTTGGAGATATTGATTTCCAGACCCCATTCGTTACAGTAGTCCCCAATAATCGTAAGCAACTTTTGGAGAGACTCAGGATCTAGGCCGAGGATTACTAGATCATCAGCCCACGCTAGGTGAGTCACTGAAAGTCCAGCGAGTGTCGGACAGTTCGCAGTAGCTTCGTTAAGGAGGTCAGAAAGCTTTTTAAAGTAAACTTTGAAAAACTCAGGGCTAAGTGGGTGTCCTTGTTCAGTTCCTTTAAGGATCTTGAATGCTTCACTTATTTTACCATTCATCTTGATATGACCCTCTGATTTGCTGTACATGTCTTTGATGATGTCGTAGTAGCCACCATTGACACCATAGCAGGCTAGTTTGAACATGAGAGCTTGTCTGCAGACTAGATCGAAAGCTTTGCGAAGATCAATGAACACTGCATATATTTTACTTTTGACTTTCTTGTATTTTTCTATGGTGGACATCAGCGTAAATATATGGTCATTGCATTGACTTCCTTTGGTAAAGCCTGCTTGGTTGGGTGGATCAGGATGTGAGATTTGGCGGTGATTAACGAGCCGAGATAGCAGCATCGTAGAGAGCAGTTTTCCGATACAGCTACAGACTGCTATTGCTCTATAGTTGTCAGGGTTCCTGATGCACCCTTTTTTGTGAATTGGTGTGATCACACTTTTGCTCCAGAGGTAGACTCCTGTCTCCAGGCACAAATTGAAGAGTTTGAGGAGGAGCGACTTCATATTCATGCTCAGACCCCGGAGCATTTCGTTGCTGATGTGGTCAAAAGAAGATGCTTTGCCCGATTTGAGTTCGCCTAGCGCAGCGTTCAGCTCATCCGATGTAAATGGGCTGTTCAGTGACTCATTAGGGGCAGATCCCTCGGATAGGGCGTTGGCTTCTTCGAGGAGAGCTCTTTTAGTGAGAGTGTCTACGGTTGGATGATTGTCAGAATATAGCTCAGAGTAGAACTGATGGAAAGAGTTGAGTTGCTCCGTTTCAGTTTGGACTTCTTCCTTCTTGTAGTTCTTAAGCTTCTTGAAATCTCTCCAGGATATAGTTTTACCGTTTTTAATCTTCTTGTTAAGACTATTGAAGAAGTCATCCCTTTTCTTATTGACAATCTTTCGATATCCTTTAGAGTTGGCACGATGCCGTGTTTTGATTCTCTGGTTATCAGGATTATTGTCGACAATTTTTATTGACCGTTTGAAAAGGCGTCGTGCAGTGTGACACTTGCCGTCAAACCATGAGGCGAACTTAGGCTTTGGATTCTTAGTTTGTTTAGAGATATCGAACTCTTTTTTAGCGACATCGTTTATGAGTTCTGTAATCTGCCTATTCAGTGCTTCAACTGCCTCATGGGTTTTTGGAGTGGATTCGACATCTTTGGTCAGTTGGGAGATTCTTTGAATGAACTCAGGCTGTTCAAATGATTTTGTGAAGTTGGCTAAACCCTCTTCTGTGATCTTGTATCGAAAGGGAGCTTCCTCGTAGATACTAGTGGGAGCTTGACTATTCCTTTGAGGGGCCCTTCGTCTATGCCAAAGGCTGAGTAAGATTGGATTGTGATCGGAGAACAGAGTGTGCTCACCCACTGAGAGGCACGTGTAATGTAATTGTGAACATTTTGTATCAAAATATATTTTTGAAATATTTGAAAATTTACTAATTATTTAATTAATTAATTAAATAATTTATTTTTGAAAAAGTTGTCCGAGAAAAAGTTGTTCTCCTTTGTTTTCTAAACACACTGCTTTAAACTAGAATCTTCTAGGATATTCAGAACGTGACTTATTTGCGGAAAACCAAAGTGGTAAAAAGGTGGTAAAAAAGTGGTAATTGTGGATTTTGCTCAAGTCAGATTCTTTGGGACTTTTCTGGAATGATTCCTGGGACCTGTCCCGACCATATCCCGTTAAAATCGCTTTGTTGCGAATTTTGTCCGACAAAAAGACGGATTTGACTGTACTATAGCGAGAAACATCCAAACTTTTGATTTTTCTACTTTATACACGAATTTAGCCCATAAAGATATCAAGGATGCTCTCAAGTTTACTGTTAAATTAGCCTTTAGGAATAGTAAAAAGAAGTTTATAGCTGTTTACGATAAAGGGTCTGCTTGGGTTAATAGCTTTAGAGATGGGACTGTGGCTTTTGATGAAGTTAAGTTGATTAAATGTGTTGAGTTTCTACTGGATAATTGTTACTTTAAAGTAGGAGAGATCTTATATCGGCAACATATCGGTGTACCTATTGGAATCAACCCTGGTCCATATATTGCTAACTTAACACTTTGGTATTTTGAGAACAGTTTCCTAGACAGTACGTATAAAAGTAGATACTATATTGTAAAGAAGTTAAATAATACATTTAGACTTATAGATGATATTACTACCCTTAACTCTGATGGTTACTTAGAGGAATATTTTAAGTTAATATATCCAGACTCTCTTACTCTTAATAAGGAAAATGAAGTAGATAGTGCCGCCAATGTATTAGATCTTGATATTTCGATAAATAGCGAGGGGAAGTTTTCTTGTAGAGTTTATGATAAAAGGGATAAGTTTGGTTTTAAAGTGGTCAAGTTTCAACCTTTGATGAGTAATCAAGCTAGTAGTGTATTATATGGCACGTACTGTTCACAGGTTGTGAGATATTCTAGGATCTGTAATAACGTTGTTGCTTTTTCTGATAGGGTTTTGAAGTTTACTGATGATTTAATTGAGTTGGGTTTTAGACGGGATCGTCTTAGTAAAATATACTTATCAGTGGTAAAGAGGCATGGGCTAAAGAATAAGTTTGGTATTGGGTGTGGAAATATATTAATGCCATAGCTTGACCTATGGCATCCTTTTCTAATGTTGCGAAATATTTGTCGCACGTGTTGAATTTAGTTTTATAATAACTTTGCAGCGGCGCAAATCGGAGTTCTAGAATTACGCGGGAAATTACGCGGGAGTAATTGTAGTTTGGGTCAGTTCGTTTTATGACGTGTTGACTACGTTTACTTAGTATACTTTATTCCTACCGTTTTATTACATTTTTTACTTTATCTACCTATTCACTATACAGTATACATATAGATGAAGGAGACACGATAAAGCATGATACGACACGGTATGTTGAAATAAAGCATGTCTCTGAAGAAGGAGAGACGATAAAGCATGATACGACACGGTATACAGAAAGAAAGCCTGTCTCAGAAGAGGGAGAGACGATAAAGCATGATACGACACGGTATATTGAAAGAAAGCCTGTCTCTGAAGAAGGAGAGACGAAAAAGCATGATACGACACGATATGTTGAAAGAAAGCCTGTCTCTGAAGAAGGAGAGACGATAAAGCATGATACGACACGGTATGTTGAAAGAAAGCCTGTGTCTGATGAAGGAGACACGATAAAGCATGATACGACACGGTATGTTGAAATAAAGCATGTCTCTGAAGAAGGAGAGACGATAAAGCATGATACGACACGGTATACAGAAAGAAAGCCTGTCTCAGAAGAGGGAGAGACGATAAAGCATGATACGACACGATATGTTGAAAGAAAGCCTGTCTCTGAAGAAGGAGAGACGATAAAGCATGATACGACACGGTATATTGAAAGAAAGCCTGTCTCTGAAGAAGGAGAGACGAAAAAGCATGATACGACACGATATGTTGAAAGAAAGCCTGTCTCTGAAGAAGGAGAGACGATAAAGCATGATACGACACGGTATGTTGAAAGAAAGCCTGTGTCTGATGAAGGAGACACGATAAAACGACAAACGATACGTTATGCTGGAAATATGGATATCTCTGAAGATTAAACAAATGGCAAGAAAAAATACTATAAAAGACCCATCGCAGGATCTGGTGCTGGCCAGCCTGTGAACGCACGAAATATCTGCACTGTGCAGAAAAACTAGAAATAACCGAGGAACTAAGGCGATGTAGCGCCGAAACAAGTGAAACATTCCCAGATGGGGAGAAGGAACCATCAACTCAGTGTGCGAGACCAAGTGATAAACAAATACTTATAACAGTAACACAAATAAATGTGCAGTTCAAAAAACTGTGATGCTAACTGTAAGCGTAAAAAGTATGGGGAGAAGTAATGAAAATGGGAGTCACATCCAAAGAGTTAGTGAAGAAGGTGTTTACAAACCTTGACCAGAAGTGTCTAATGAAGTAAGTCAGACAAGCAAACGCTTCCTTAAATGTTGATTTAAGTCGTCTCTATCCCAGTAATTATGAATGATGACCCAGTGTAAAAGTGCAGAAATCGGCCGAAAATAACAAAGACTAAAAAGAGTTAAAAAGTGACAGGATTCAAACACAAGGAAAATTAATAACATAAAGCGTAATAAGGAATATCTCCAAACGGAGTATTCTTAGAGGGTGAGAGGTTCTTTAATAAGACCTAATGATTAAATGAGACCCACTAAAGGTACTAAATTAACCGGACTGCTAGCGAGGAATCGAGAGTAGGAATAAAATAAAAGCGGAATAAATTCTAAGATAACGAAAAACTGGTACAGACAGCTAAAGTCCTAACACGGAGTCTAGGAAAAACCTGTGAACCAAATAGTGCTTAGTGGGATACGTAAATGGTGAAATTAACGATTTACTTGATCGGTTCAGGGGCGCAGGCACGTACGTACGCAGTCAGGCACAACGCTCGCAGGCTACCATATACGGAAAAAAACCTCGTTCGCCAAACCTTGTCCTTGACTATTTTGTGCCTTTGGCACTTTGAGTCATGGATCGGGAAAAAACGCTTCCCTGTGGAGTTTTAGTGTATAAAAGGAGTTTTAGTGTATAAAATAGGAGTTAAAAATGGTGAAATGTTTACCTGAGTGGTAGTGACAACTTGGCAGCCCCTTGGTAGAGTATATAGGAGGTAGCAACAGGAACCAGACACAGCAACATAACCACATCAGACAGAGTAAACACGCTGTACATCAATCCTGCGGGGTTACAATACAGACATCGATCCTTCATTTTGTGGGGGAGTAACAATGCAGACATCAATTTTGTTTTCCAGCTACTTAAAGTTAATTTCCCCCGACTTATTTTAAGATTGAAAGGGTACGGATACGCTTCCTTGTCTTAATGGAGACAATTGAAATTACTGAGCGAACGATTCGTTTTTTCTAATATTCGGATCAGAACATTGTTTTAATGTTTATAGTCACGTGATTTGATCGCGTTTATTGCGACAATGAAAAGACTCTTTTCAGAAAAAGGAATTGTTCTACGGGCTACCGGACAACTGAACCCAATTTGGACTTTTTCTAGTATAGGACAGGGTATGACTATGTCTATTGGATACGAGAGGGCACTCCGAATATAATTGTTCACCTAATGCGGGTTTTGACTGAGCGGGTAAATACTCCTACCCTTTTTAACTGCGGCAGTAGTTAAAAGTTACTAGTTACACTAGTAGATAGATAAATAAATAGATATAAGCTTCACTATATCTATCTATTTATCTATCTACTAGTGTAGTTTTTTACCGAATTTCGTATAACAGTGCTGGCGCGTATTTTGCGCAAATTAAAAAAACCTCCACATAACAATTTTTATTCCTGTCATCTTTGACCTTGAATTGGAATTGTTTGCACTTTTAATATGCCTGCTGAACTACTTTCGGTGAGTCTTAATGCCTGAAAAACAGTGAAGGGGTATAATAGTATACTTATTATAGTGAGTATAAGGGCGACGACCGTGCTTGCCAGCACTGTGATATTATTCATTCCGTGATTTTGACGTTACCTGTAACTCCGTTGACCCTCCTCAAGAAGTGAAGATAGCAGAAAAGGTTGCTAAGAACTCCTGCTACCACCAAACAACTGATCAAGTAACCCAGAGCTCTCGCTAATGCGCACTCGTCACAAACCATCGTCTCCTTGTTGTCCTTAGTCCCGTTCTCAGATTGCTTTGTGACGTTTTGTCCTGTAGTCACGTGGTCTGTAGTCACGTGGTCTGTAGTCACGTGGTCTGTAGTCACGTGGTCTGTAGTCACGTGGTACGTAGTCACGTGGTCTGTAGTCACGTGGTCTGTAGTCACGTGGTCTGTAGTCACGTGGTCTGTAGTCACGTGGTCTGTAGTCACGTGGGCTGTAGTCACATGGCCAGTGGGCTGGTTAGGCAGCTGTGTTAAAGTAGGGGTTGAAGAACTGGGGGATGGTAGAGGGCTCATAGAGGAGAACATGAAAGTGAGATTAGTTTTTGTACGCTCGGGTGGTACCACATTCTCAGCCGTGAAGACCTTGTTTGTTACTGGCTGCACTGTGCTGTAGTTGTAAGCAGTGTCGTGGTTGTAATGGGAAGTTGTAGGAGATTTGGTGGTAGGAAATGATATTGTTTTAGAGTATGTATCAAATGAAGTAGTGGGGTTGGACGTGATTGCGTGCAGAGGCCCCTCTATGATCTCCAATGTTGAGGTTTCCTCTTTCCTCTTTCTTGGCGTGACACGCAGAAATAAAGCATACAACAGCAGCAGCGAACAAATCATGACATGGGCTGTAAGAGAAGAGTTATCTGATATCGTGTTATACTGTACTATTAATGATAATGATCTGATTTCCGTGTGCGTGATGACAAAGATCACTGCTGTAATAAAAATGATTTTGACTTTTACCGAAGCTTTACTTTAAGTCGACATCTAAACAATGTTAGGGTATTATTGTTAAAAGTAGACTGAAAGAATGTTGAGTTTAAACAAACATACTACATATATACAAACATACTACATATTATATACAAACATACTACATATATACAAACATACTACATATTATATACAAACATACTACATATATACAAACATACTACATATGTACTAGGTAGTGCGCCATCGTCTAATTTCGGCCAGCACAAAATTCTTGAAACAAATGCGTATTGACTTATTGAGTAACCTTCCCTTCATCCAACTTTAACAAAAATTGGTAAGCTTACTTATAGACTTACAAGAAAAGTGTCCGAAAAATATATCAGGTCTTCTAACTAGCGGGCTGCGCGGGCTTGCACTGAACAGTAACTCGAATAACACAAATTATCGCCAAGAACGAAAATGAAATTATTAGCAAGACGCATTCCTGAATATTGAAGAAGGGGGTATGGGTGATGTAACCCAACACTTAATCAAACCATACATTTATATTTTAGAAGCACCCAAAATATTTCAATTGGTGAATTGAAACACTGGAGCGTGAACTGCAGAGTGCAGACACCACGGTAACCACGGTAACTGCCCCTAAAATATGCAGAACATGCAAAACATGCAAAACATGCAAAACATGCAAAACATGCAAAACAGGCAAAACATACAAAACATGCAATACACTTGTGTAAGCAATTACTCAAATACTCGAATACAAAGAGAGTAATAGAAGCAATGTACACTCACTGGGGTGTATTTAACTTAATAACTCGTATCATTGGAACTGGAATGAATGATAGTTGAGAGCGGTAATTCTATTTGTCAGCTCGGTTTAAAGTACTCATGATCTTTACCCAATATAATGCTAATACGTAAAAATAACACGAAGCTTCGCTCAGGTACTGTTTTCATTATACAGGGTTTTATGTATGGTGCTGTGTAATTTTGTAATTTACTAATCGTTTTGATGTGGGTTTGCCAGTAACTGTGCCATCTCTACTATAATTCAGAGAATTATTTCTGCTGTATGTACGTACGACCGCCCACGTGCAAAAAATTTTTTTGGGGGGGTTTTTTTTAAAAAAAAAATTTTTTAAAAAAAAAATTTTTTTTTAAAATTTTTTTTTTTAAAAAAATTTTTTTTTTAAAAAAAAAATTTTTTTTTTAGGGGTTTTTTTTTTTGGGGGGTTTTTTTTTTTGGGGGGGTTTTTTTTTTGGGGGTTCCTTTTTTTTTTTGGGGGGTTTTTTTTTTTTTAAAAAGGGCCTTTTTTTGGTTTTTGGGGGGGGGGGGCCCCCCCTTTTTTTTGGGGGGGGGGAAAAAAATTTCCCAAAAAAAATTTTTTTAAAAAACCTTTTTTTTGGGGGGGGGGGGGGGAAAAAAAAAAAACCCCCTTTTTTAAAGGGGAAAAAATTTTTTTTTAAAAAAAGGGGGGGGGGGGGGGGGAAAGGAAAGGGGGGGGGAAAAAAAAAAAGGGGGGGGGAAAAAATTTTTTTTTTGGGGGGAAAAAGGGGAAAAAAAAAAATTTTTGGGGGGGGGGGGGGGGGGGGTTTTTTTTTTTGGGGGGGTTTTTGGGGGGAAGGGTTTTTTTTTTTTTAAAATTTTTTTTTTGGGGGAAAAAAAAAAAAAATTTTTTTGGGGGGGTTTAAAATTAGGGGGGAAAAAATTTTTTTAAAAAAAAGGGGGGGGTTTTTTTTTAAAGGGGGGGGGAAAAAAAAATTTTTTAAAAAATTTTGGAAAAAAAAATTTTTTTTTGGGGGTTTTGGGGGGGGGGTTTTTTTTGGGGTTTTTTGGGGTTGGGGGGGGGGAAAGGGGGAAGGAAAAAAAAAATTTAATTGGGGGAAAAAAAAATTTTTTTGGGGGGGGGGGAAAAAGTTTTTTTTTTTAAAGGGGTTTTTTGGGGGGAAAAAATTTTTTTTTTGGGTTTTTTTTTTTTTTTGGGGGTTTTAAAATTTTTGGGTTTTTTTTTTAAAAAAAAAAAGGGGGGGGGGGGGGGGGGTTTTTTTTAAAGGGTTTTTTTAGGGGAAAAAATTTTGGGGGTTTTTTTTTTAAAAAAGGGGGGTTTTTTTGGTTTTTTTTTTTGGGGGGAAAAATTTTTTTTGGGGGTTTTGGGGGGGGGAAAAAATTTTTTTTTGGGGGGGGAAATTGGGTTTTTTTTTGGGGGGTTTTGTTTAATTGGGGGTTTTTTTTTTTTAAAATTGGGGGGGGTTTTAATTTTTTTTTTTTTGGGGGGGGGGGGGTTTTTTGGGGGTTTTTTTTTGGGGATTTAAAAAGGGGGTTGGGGGGGGTTTTAAAATTAAGGGTTTTTTTTTTTTTTTTGGGGTTTTTTTTTTTTTGGTTTTTTTTGGGGTTTTTTTTTTTGGGGTTTTTTTAGGGGGGGGGGGTTTTTTTGGGGGGGGGTTTAAAGGGGGGGGAAAAAATAAGGTGGGGGGGGGGGGTTTTTTTTTTGGGGGGGGGTTTAAGGGGGGGGTTTTTTTTTAAAGTTAATTTTTGGGGGGTTTTGGTTTTTTTTTTTAAAGGGGGGGGGTTTTTTTTGGGGAAAAAAAAAAAAAAAATTTTTTTTAAAAAAAAAGGGGGGAAAAAAAAAATTTTTTTAAAAGGGGAAGGGGGGTTTTTTTTTTTAAAAAATTTTTTTAAAAAAAATTTTTTTTTTTTGGGGGGGGGGTTTTTTTTTTTTTTAAAATTGGTTTTTTTTTTTGGGAAAATTTTTTTTTTGGGGGGGGGTTTTTAAAATTTTTTTTTTGGGGGTTTAAAGGATTTTTTTTTTTTTGGGGGGGGGGGGGTTTTAAAAAATTTTTGGGTTTTTAAAATTTTTTTTTTAAAAAAATTTTTAGGGGGAAATTTTTTTGGAAAAAAAGGGGGGGTTTTTTTTGGGGGGAAAAAATTTTTTTTGGGGGGGGGGGTTTTTTTTTTTTTAGGTTTTGGGGGGGGGGTTTTTTGGGGGGGGGTTTTTTTTTTGGGGGGTTTTAAAGGGGGGGGGGTTTTTTTTTTAAAAAAATTTTTTTTTTTGGGGGGGAAAAGGGGGGGGAAAAAAGGGGGGAAAAAGGGGGGGGTTTTTTTGGGGGTTTTGGGGGGTTTTTTTAAAAAAGGGGGGGGGGGAAAAAATTTTTTTTTGGGGGAAAAAGGGGGGGGTTTTTTTTAAATTTTTTTTGGGGGAAAATTAGGGGGGGGGGGTTTTAAAAGGGTTTGG